ACCTAGATTAGTTGACCCGAATAAGATAAGAAATCTAGAGAATAGTTCAGCAGCTATCGCAGGCACTACATGCAATTACACACAACCATACAATAGGCTGGATGGGATAAGATGACAGTTTTAAAATTTAATACAAGTAACAGGGTGGCGAGTGGGGAAGATTAGTAACAAAAGCTTTGTTTATCGAATCAACTGCAAATCAACACGTGTAATAGGAATGATTCAACACCTGTCCAGCTGGACATCTGGAAAATTCTACTACCCCAATGACGACGACAAATAGGAGAGAACAAAGAAGACTATAAAACTCAAGTTTCGAAGTCGTGTGATTATAATTCGTGATATGATTATGAACAGGAACAATGAATTGTGTTCGAAACAACTTTGTCATCCAGTAAATACTAATACTGTTTCACTCGCTGACTGTGTGATGGATCCATCTAATAAACAAACTAATATGGAATGCTTGGGAATCACTTATAGTCCCGTTGGATTACTGTGTAGGTCATTGATTATACCAGTACCGAAGATGGGAGAAAAGCTTTCCTGGGAATTAGCTTGACTTAATTAATATGATATGTAAAATTCTAGACTCATTAGTCATGCGTGTAGATTAAGTGGTGTTCGGGTAGAAACAAAGGCGAGAAGACCAGACTGATTTTAGACCGGGAAGAGGGTGTATTGATCATATCTTCAATCTTCGATAGATTCTCAAACATATGCACTACCAGCACATATCTCTAGTTTCTTGACACATATAAACTCACTGGTAGAAGGAATAAAATTCACATTTGAATCAGAAAATGAATAAAGAGAATTAGCTGTGATGTAAGATTGTAAAATAAAACGAATAGAAGAAGGTAAACTACACACTAGCGTTTATAAAAAACCAACACATTCTGCTAATAGATATTTAGACTTTAATTCATCACCTCATCCGTTAACTGTTAAGGCAAGCTTAGTTAAGTTAAGTGTCTAACAAACCGAGCAGTAGCAATAAGTGGCACAAGAAAAGACCTAAATGATGAAATACAACAGACAAAAGAAGAAGAAGCGTTGGTGTCAAATAACTAACTATCCCATAAAATTCATTAGGAAGATCAGTAAGGGCCAAAAGCGAAATAAAAATAATTGTGAAACTAGTAATGATAACATAAACAAGCGAGAATATAAGGCATCTACAGCAGTTATACCATATAAGGAGGGGACATCTGAGACCCTACGTAGGATTCTAAATAAAGCAGGAATTAGGGTGGCATTCAAACCTACAAACTAACTCAGAGACAAGCTCTGCAGGCTAAAAGACCGGGTGGACCCAATTAGACAAAGTAATAGCATTTACGAAATACCTTGGAATGACTGCGAGGTCAACTATATAGGTCAAACTAGTAGATCGGGGGTAATCAGATTGTCGGAACATAAGAATTTAGCTAAGGTAAGAATGGTTGACCCCACCGGAGAAGATAAGTAAATTAGAAAAAAGCTCAGCAATTGCGTTACATGCAATAACACACAATCACACAATGTCATGGTGGAAGAGGGTTAAGATTCTAAGAAGTAATCTATGTAGATGGAGAGAGAGGTTGATTACTGAATCCTGTCTGGTTCATCAAGTCTACAACCAACACATGCAATAGAAATGACTCAATGCAAATACCAGAAATATAGAAGATATTATTACCACCAGTCAAATCAGAGGAGGATAATAAATAATCTTAAATTGTATTCCATTTCAATTCAATTCAAACACACCACAACATTCTAACAAGTTACTTATTATGACTATAAAAGAAACACTCGTCTTATTTCCCATCTGATTGCAATGGATCAGTAACACTCATATTATTGTTTCTGAATATACATTATCCCATATTACTGATTTGTATTCAAATGTCTAATCAATTCCACACACACACCTGCATATAAATGAAGGAAAAAGTTGTGTGGGTAACTTGATATGATCATGAGTGGTAATAGTTTGTGCTCGAAACGTGGTCGCATCAGTTAATATTACTTACTGTATAAGACTACACACACTGTGTGACACTTTATCAAAATAAAATCTTATCCATAATGGAGTTACACGCTACCACAGTTCCCAAGTTTTATACGTATACCAGCGTCCAACATTTGCCAGATTACTTGGCCTAAATGTGGAATTCGACTCCATCGACCGATGAGAGCGATAAAGGGTTTAAAGAACAAAGTAATTCGCACTGACCATGGCACTCTACTCGAAGTGACGCAACCAGATAAATAGCTTATGCAGAGATAGGTAGGGAATGATGTGATAGAGCACATTGACAACTTCACTTATTTGCGAAGTTATTAATTATATCAGCCTCAATGAGCTGACGAAATCTAAACGCGGATAAAAAGGACCCGTGTGTGGCATTTGCCGACTTACGACACTTGTGATATCCAGTTATTGATCAGAGGACATGTGTACTGTGGATTAGTTCACTTCATCCTCTTTTTTATGACCTGCTGTGTGAGACATGGTCCTTGAAAGTGGAATATGTGAAAAAGAGGCTAGCTGTCTTTGGTCATACATAGGTGTATCTGCGTTCTCTATCTCTCGTGTCAGTTGGTATAATGGGACCAGTAAAATTGAGATGATAGGGGGGGAAGCCATCGCCTTCCTCCTCAACGAGCAATGTCAGCTGACACAGCCTTTGACGACGTTGGTAAAGAGCTACAGGTGGGGTGGTTGTTAAACCAAAGTTTGGAGTCAGTCAGTCAGTGAAATCTTTGGTTAGTTAGTTTGAACTGTCTACGGATGGAGGTTTTTAGGCTTCCTGGTTATCGTTCTTGGGATTCTAAGAACCCCATTGGTTGAGGACAGTGGTGGTATGACTTGAAATCGTTCTCAATAGAATAGATGCATTCACTCTTTGTGATTTCCCATATTCAATAAACCCTAATTGTTTCCCCATGTTAATAATATTAAACGGTTGGTTGCTAAGTGAAAAGGGTTATCCAGGAAAGTTTATTGATAAGAATATATATGAATCTAAAATCAAAGCAGCCCAAGGTACACCAACAGTTCCTATGTAAAGGAAGGCCTTATTCTTACAAATGCAGTCAGTTTCTTGGGGACAACATCAGCGAGATACTAACACAGCTGTGCCTTAGAAATGAGGCGGTAAAACGAAGAGCATTCCGTGCTGCTTCCGATTTACGCTGTGTCTTCAAAACCACTCACTACTCTCTTGCGTTTGTTCGGGAGTAAAAGACAAACAGCCTAATTTCGCCTCTTCCATGTGTGTGTGTATCTATCAATTTAACTGCTCCTGTCGAGTGAGCTACTTACTTATATACGCCGTACAATTAGGCGTGTTTCTCGTCGAATTTCCGAACATAACCCACCCTGAACAGTTGTTGGTTGGTTAAGTAAAGGACAAACAAAATCTATTCTCACCGCTATTCTATTCTATCTCACTCATCATCTTGTGGATACAGAACACAAGACTGATTCATGTTACCAAGGCGGCGGCTTTCAGGGTCATTTAACGCTTACCAACCAACAAATCTCAATTTCGCCTTAACAGTTCGACTACTAAATACATTGCTGAGGCTGGTTGGCTGGCTGTTGGGATCCAGATTAACAAGCCTAATTTGTGCATCCAAAAGAAGTTGGTTGGTTCAGACATTATCCTTACCCGCTTGACCATCTAGGTTTGAATGATCGATACTGAATTTTTGTGGAATTTTCCTAATTTTAGTTGATATTCTATTTGCTACTATATCTTTATTATTATTATTATTACCATAATTTAAGCATCTTTAATGAACTGTGGTGATTCCATTGTGATCTTACTTTACAAATCGATATTACTATTTAAAAAGCACACACTAATATTGTTATTGACTACCAATCCAGAATATTCTAATATATATATATATATATATATATATATATATATTCAGAACAAAATATTTAGAGCGAACAATTGTTTTCAACTAATTCTGTTTCTTGAGTAAAGGAATAACCAAATGTGTAAATAGTGCAGTCTTAGCCCACTTGGTAGATACTGGACACCAGATAAAACTTGACCAGGCGTTCTCAGTTATTTACCGCGTTCATAGTAATTCATCTAGAGGAACTCGACTACTTCTTCTATCAGTAGCTGAAGCGGTGGCAATTAATACCAGAAGACCATCTCTTTGCATACAGAAAAAGTATGTTCAACCACTATGTTTACCTTGGCCTACAATAAAGCCAACAAATCCTCCATTAACACTATAAATTCCTTTCACAATTTTCTTTTCTTTTCTCCTTCTTCTATTCTTCTGTTTCATTGACAAACGTTCATTTTCGACTTTTATGATTTCATGACCTTTCTTAAGTGCTTTTCTAACTTGTTATCGTATTTACAAAACCCTGTTCATTCCACTTCATTATATTCATTGTTATTATTTGACAGTCATTCACCTATAGTACTTGTAATTTTACACCATATCATCGTTATTATTTTACTGTCGTTATTTTCAACCTTGAACTTATGTCTAGACCGCCCCATTCGTTGGTTTATTTTCATATTGTCTCACACACCCTGATTACACTCACTCTCGAAACCTGTATTTTTCTGTTGACTATATTTATATATATACACACATCATTAAATTAAATTACTTCATCTCATTTTGTCCCATGTTCTCATTGACCATGCATATTAAAAAAACTAACTGACTATTGTTCCATCCCATCTTATACTTGTTCCACAATACACTTTCTGATATGATTCTAATTTGCCTTTACTGGCTATTGTATGCTTAAATTAATGGATTTATAATTGTAGAGCCTGAAGAAGAAGTTATCGAAAACAATTGTTCGCTCTAAATATTTTGTTCTGAATAAATTATGGGAATATTCAATATATATATTGACACCTTAACCCTGACTATGTATAAATTCTTTCAGTGGTGATTGTGATATTCATAATAATAATAACAATAATAATAATAATATAGCACTAATGTTTTTTTCACGTGTTTAGATTATTGCTTGGACTGGTCTATCCTATTATTATTCTTGGTCATGGACTTCAGGGTTGCTTCCACTGTTGTCTGGAGTTGTCGTTGAAGCGTACACGGAACAGATTGATAATCTGGTTGTACCGCTTGTTGTAATGTTCACTTTTCTGTATGCCAATAGTAATTATAGCAGTTTTGTCTACAATATGATCCCATAGATGGATGATTGTTTTGCAGATTGTTTTCTAAATGTTTTAATAGATGTGTTACTCGTACTCTATGTACCAGTGTTTATTCATTATAACTAGATATACTTACTGTAAAAAGCTTTCCTTTTTGTACCGCCTTTACTTTTGCTTATTTTTTCTGTACATGTCAGTTAGGGTGATGTAGAGGGGCAACCTAAAAATCACTAATTGTTCGTGTTTTTTTTGTAAATTAATGATGTGTAATAAAATATATATTAATCAATTAATTTCAAGCCCATCTTCATTATTCTCAGTGCTTCTATTGGTTTTATAGAATCCACTGTCTTCATGAAAAGGTTGTCAGTTTTTGAGCATAGATGTTTACGATCTCTTTCTCATGTTAGGTGGCATAATAAGGTAAGTAATGTCGACGTTAGGTTAGGCGTAGAGTGTTGGGCAAAGAGGGAAAGTCAATCGACGAGGCTATAAAGTTACATAGATTGACATAGCTAGGTAACGTGCTGCGCATGCCTAACCATCGCCTCCCCACCCGACCCGACGGGCATTACTAGCTGATATAGGTGCAGGTTGGAAAAGAGTAAGTGGTGCATGCCAAACAAAAAGATGGCATCATCAATCCATGAAATCCTTGACAGTTAAACTGAGTCAGTCAGGTAGGGAGATGCAGACTTCCGGGTGGTTGGGGCCCGCCCTCAGGACTCTAAGAATCAATGGCTGGAGACAGACAATAGGTGACATGGCTCAAAATCGTTGTCAATGGCTTACGCAGATGTATTCAGTCTCTTGTGTAATCTTTCATATTCCTTTCTACCATTACTCATTCTGTTTCACTCTTATACTTGTCAAAACTCTATTGATTCTCTTCACTCATCTATCTTCTTGTCTACCTTTGTGTGCTATTTGGAACGTGGCAACTCGAACTGTTGCATTTCGGTGCCAAGTTCTATGTTGAATCCAGACCAGAGATCAGACTGTCTTAATTAGGTGAGTGCAACCGCGGAGTGGCTTAGCGGTAGAATGCTTGCCAACCAAACGCACACACATGTCGTCCCGTGTTCGATTCCCCGCCGACACGTGCTTCTTTGCCTCGATAAGCTAGTAGTAAGATCGGCAAAAAGAGGGGAGGGTGGGCATGTGACTGCCTAGCAACCCCCCGCCACCCCGTAAAAATAAACACTACTGCTATCGAAACTTCAATGCTTTAGCTTGGAGCCCTATATTCCCCGGGGGGAATGTTCAGTCATGAAAAGAAGATAAACTATCTTTAGTAAGGTTGGGCTGGTAGATGACGTCACAGGGAATACTTTCACATGTGATGGTGGTGTCTACCAAAATCTGAACCAAAATGCAATACATCTCACTATTCCTTCGACTGTCTCGGTGATTGAATTATATTTTTTGACGCATCGCTGATTATTAATCTGTGACGAGAGCTGTCTGCTAGCAAAAATCGATAGACAGTAATTTACGTCAATGTTGTTTATGTCCCAAATATTGGTCATGAGAAAACAAGAACAAAGACTGACTGACTGACTCAACCAACAACCAATCACAGCACACTTTGTTTGCGTAGGCGGATACAATTAGCAGATAGATGATCTGACCTTGAAGAAACAGCCACAAAGAGAAACAACCAATCAGAAGACTGTGTTTGTCTGCTAACAATAATCAATAATAATAATGTACATGAAAATCGATCAATATGTGTGTTGATTTCCTTAAGATAAACGATCTGTTGCCTGACCCTTTTCCTCTGTCGTTACAAATCGGTTTTTCTTTATTGTATTTATTGAGGCATGGATGTGAATTATCACTAATCCTAACATATTAGTCAGTTTCTGATTACTAATACTCATACGGTAGTGGTGTAATTCATTTGATATTTTAACAAGAATAAAAATTGTATTAAAACTGACGTGCACCTTTATTGAACTGAATTCTCACTATAGAACTTTGTCGTCGGGTTCCAATCGAGTGAGGGCTTGTCTAGTGATGTCACTCACTTGATGGTTTGTTTTCTCAGAGGATGGCCAACCAATCCACCTCCTCCATTTCTTCCTGCTAATTTGTTGCACAATCAGTTCCTGCGGTGTTGGTTCGCTCACTGCCAGAGATCCCTCCCTGTCCCTGATCTTTTCTAGCTGACGATCTGATCTTGAGTGGTATTGAGCTGTTGATGAAGGTGTGTAGTTTGTTCGAAGTGCCCTTCATGACGCGCTGGCCAAGTCTCTGATCCGTATAACAGAACTGACTGACTTCACATTGGAGTTGAAAATCCGGATTGTAATTTTCATGCTGAGTGCTGTTCATCTCCATACAGACTTGAGAGTGATACAAGTTTGCCTTGCTATCCCAATCCTCGTTTTGATAATCTCATCAGTTCCGTCCTCGTATAGTTGAAACGATGCTTCCCAGGTAGGTGAAGGAGGTTGCTTCTTTCACATTTCTCTCGTTTATGCTGATTGTTGTCTGTTGCAGTTGGTGTCGCTGATTTTGACCAGGAATCTTCATCACCTACCTCTGTTTTCTCTTTGTTCACCTGAAGTCCTATCTTTGATGCTTCTTCTGTCAAATTGTTTCTTTTCACTTGTAGATCTTCCAGTTTGTAAGAAATCAGGCATATATCTCATTGGTGAAGTCCAGATCCTCCAAGTTTTTTCTGTGGGTCGACACGAAAATGTGTGTGTGTGTGGAAGGGGGCGAAAGAATGGTTAAATAAAGAATATTGGGGATCTAATAGCCCTGAAAGTAAATGCCCTCAGAATGCTTTTCAGCTATGATGTTACCAACAATCACTATCCATCGGTTCTTAGTGTCTCAGGGACCACACACAGCCAAGTTGTCTACACACTCCTACCTGACTCAAATATACATTTAAGGGGATTGATTCCATGTTTTGGTTTAACTAACACCCTAACTTCTAACTTAATTCTATATCAGCTACAATTGCTTGTAGATATGATGGAGAAGATTTGTAGCTCAGGTGGATGATTTTGATGTGGTTGTATTCTCTCTCTGAGCTAACTGGATAGTAGTTAATTTGCGAAGCTCTCATCGCCCTACTAGGCAGGTGACATCTTCAGCGCATACTTCTATTTCAATTGAAGTGAGCTTTTAAATTTCTCCACGAGTTCACCATTAATCATCTCTCCTAGTCACCACCTTGAACGTGATTGGTTGTTTTTGTATTTTCACACCTTCTAGTCTGCTTGTATTGGAACTGATTGTTTCTTTGACTTGAACCTTGACCCTTTGTGTGTGTGTGTGTGAGGTTTCTTTCTTATCGGTTGATAAATTTTGTCAATCTCGATGTGTCTATTGACTGATGATTCATTGGAATACCAGTCAGGCTTCTAAAAATTCTCTGGCTAGCATTCTTGGTGTTGTTTCCTCTGTCTAATATTTAATATGAATAAGGCATTAAGAAGACAAATTTCGCGAGATGATATCATATCACATAGAAAATCCCAATGCCAGTAATCTGAATAGAAATCCAGCATCATCCATTGCAAAACACTTATTAATGTCAGGTCACAAAATCAATCAATATATTGATGACTGTTTCACAATTATTTCATCACATAACTCTAATTCAATGGTTATTGAAGGTGATGGAAGCACTTTGGATTAATCACATACAGCCTAAACTGTGTGTACAAAAATCAATAGACTTCAATCTTCTCCTACCCTGGACTACTTGACCTATCTAAATATGATTGGTCATTAGTATGTACTTTTGTTTTTATTTAACTGAGTAATTGTCATGAACTTTATTTTATTATTGTTAACCATGTTAGTTGTAAAGCGGTTGTAAAGAAACTACGAAATGACGATATCATCTCGCGAAATTTGTCTTCTAAATGCCTTATTCAAATTTATCAAAGGGACTAAATGTTTTAATATTTAATAATAATAGTAATAATAATAATAATCATTTGCTTTATTCCAGAAACAGTACTAGTGTTACAGTGTGGAATTTTCAGCACATATCTACAATATTTGCATCTAATTTTATCAGACATTTAAAAGGAGTATTTCAAAAAATAAATAAATATAAAGACACCAACAGCAAGAAAAAAAACAGGAAAATCACAAAATAATTTTTAAAAATGCGAAAAAAAACCAAGAAGTAGAAAGGAAAATAAATACATAATATCTCAGTATTGGGTAGTGGAGGCTGTGATATGTTTATGCATAGTGACAGTAAGGCTATAGTCATACAAGAAGTTATGAAACGATATTTAAGAATGTTTATCACCAAGATGATCAGTTAATTTGGTTGAAACAACACTAAACACTCATAAAATAACATTTCAGGGTTGTTGTTTTGTTTTTTATTGTCAGGACTAATGCGGTGTTTGTAGTGGTAGTGTGAGTAATCCTACATAATACAAAATTTTAAGGGTGACAATGACTTTCATAACCAATGATTGTCAGTTAATATTGCCGAAAAAAATAAGAATAAAACTAATAATTACATGATGGTTAATGACAGGAAAATTTTATACTACTCATAGTGCTAACGTTGGTTGTCCCAGTCGAATGGATGTCCGTGGTTGTCTGTATGTAGTGAGGTGATATGAGTGAGGGAGTAGATGTCATGTCTTTTGGCGGCCAGCTTATGTTTGTGGATACGAAGGCGAAGAGCAGGGATGTCCACTTTGGCCAATGTAGTGTTTTTCGCAGTTGTTACAATTTTTTATTTTGAAGATGCAGATGTCGGTTTTATCTTCTTTCATTCGCTGTTGAGTCGTTTGGTTGACAATTGCTTGTCTAGGAAGACGTTGGCGTGGCATGCGTAACATGCGTGTCCTAGTGAACTCAGTCGATGCGGCTTCACAATCCCATCAATTGACTGTCTATTCTTACCTATTACTTACTGTATGCCTTGCTTGTTTCATTGTTATCGATTGTATGATACTACCATCTAATATGCGAGATGAAATAAAACTTGCTGTATTGTTTTTTTGATGCATTCGTTTGATTGTCTTCGAAAAAGGTTGGTGTGT